ACTTTGGTTGATTGCACACAAACTTCATGTTTCTTGATCCATTCTCTGCTGCACAAATGTAGCACACTGGGATGTTAATAATAGTAGCAGAAGCACTCCTCAGTTAAAAGGTGCAGGATGTTTCTCTTTTGAGGAGCTTAAGAAATATACAAATAACTTTTCAGAGGCCAATGATATTGGATCCGGGGGTTATGGAAAGGTGCCTTTTTCTCTCTCTCTCTCTCTCTAAAAGTAAAATGATGATTCTTTCTTAAATAAAATTGTGTCACTAACCCCTTTTCATTTGAACTAATAATTTTACAACTCGAATGTATTGCTCATGGTTATTATAGGTATGTACACACATAACATTTTTATATACATATATATGGAGCAAATAAGCCCTTGATGAAAGTTTGGTGGCATATCAACCCTTGAACTTACAAATAGCAGCATATCTCCCCAAAGTTATAGAAATTGTTAGTCTATATTGGTCAATGTATAGTTTATCTAATGTGGTATGATAGACTGACTAAGGTCAGTCAATGATGTCCATCAACTTAGGGGAGATTTGCTGTTGTTTATAAATTGTTAGGTGGATTTGCCACCAAACTTTCATTAGGGATGTATTTGCTAGTAAAAATTATTTTATGGGGTTTATTTACCTACTATTCCAATAGAAAATAGCTACAGATTAGCAGCTCTTGTTGCTGGAACAAAGAAAAAAAAAAAAAAAAAAGAGATTAGCAATTTTATTTGGAACTTTTGTATTAAAAAATAAATCAATGTATCCTCAAGGCCTCTCTTTTATATTAGAAAAGTTCCACACGAATTTTTGGCAACGATGCAGTATGATTAATGCTATGCGGCTAAGTAAGTCATGAACATGATATGATGAACATAATCAATTTAACTTCAAACTTTTGTGAATCTAGCAGTTTATATAGGTTTGTCAACTTTCCAGCACTACTGTTCCTTTTCTCAAATTTATCTTTTTGTCTTCAATAATAATCCGTGTTACATTACATTACATGATCATTAAAATTTCAATCTTCAATCAATTACAGGTTTATAGGGGAACTCTTCCCAATGGAGAGCTAGTTGCGATCAAACGAGCCCAGCAAGGATCAATGCAGGGTGAGCTGGAATTCAAAACAGAGATTGAACTTCTCTCTAGAGTCCATCATAAGAACATTGTCAGTCTATTAGGATTTTGTTTTGAGCAAGGTGAACAAATGCTAATATATGAATATGTTCCAAATGGCTCTTTGTATGAAACTCTATCAGGTATGTTCCTCCATTTATTCTGTTTTTGATGTAAACATGAATTACTTAATGAGTTATGTAGCTAGATAGTATTTTTATAATTTATATATACTGTTGTTGAAAGAGCAAATGATAAGTCTCTACTGTTGAAAGTGTTAAAAACAACTCAAAAGGCTTTATGAATATTTTTCACAGCTTGTTTCTTAGCAACTGTCTAATGATAGTAACTAGTTATTTTATAGCAAATGAATTTACGTTATACCCTTCACATTTCTTGCATAACAAGCTAGCCTTACGTATAGCAAAAGCTCCATTTAATTTGCTTCATCGGAAAGTTTCATACTATCTGTAGGAAAGTCAAGAATCAGACTGGATTGGGCCAGACGACTCAAAATAGCCGTTGGTGCAGCTAGAGGCCTCGCATATCTGCATGAACTTGCCAATCCTCCCATCATACATAGGGACATTAAATCGACTAACATATTATTGGATCAGCACCTCACTGCTAAAGTTGCCGATTTTGGTCTTTCCAAGCCTATAAGTGACAATGAAAAAAGTCATGTTACCACTCAAGTCGAAGGGACAACGGTGAGTGCTTTTATATACCCACTTCAATGGGATAATAAGGAATTCTTGTCTTCAACTTAAATAATGGGGATTAAGAAACAACAGGACTTGAAGGTGATTAATCATGTTTGTCTTTGTAGATAATAGTAGCATGATGTTTTTAAGAGGTTGTATAGAATGAATCAATGATAAAGTTAATCAGCCAGATTTCATTAGCTTAGATCCATTAGTTAAATGAAGTATATTCTCATTTTTTCTGGGAAAAGATTTTATATGACTTCACAACAAAGATTCAGAATATCCTATACAAGCTAAACATGTTTTGTTCTGACCCTAGCCAATTTATGAGGACAAAAAGGAGGAAGCTAAGGTTTAGTTTAGTGATGATTCTTTATTGTGTTAGAATAATTTGATCATGCCTGTAGTTTTTGTTATTGGTGTAGGGTTACGTGGATCCTGAATATTATATGACCCAGCAACTAACTGAGAAAAGTGATGTTTATAGTTTTGGGGTGCTTTTGTTGGAGTTGGTAACTGGAAGAAGACCAATAGAGAGAGGGAAGTATATTGTAAGAGAGGTGAGAATGGCAGTGGATAAGACAAAAGACCTGTATAGTCTTCATCAAATTCTTGACCTAGCCATTGCAGATACAAGTTTGAAAGGTTTAGAAAAGTTTGTGGACCTAGCAATGAGCTGTGTGGAAGAATCAGGAGCTGACAGGCCTACAATGGGTGAAGTGGTAAAAGAGATTGAAAACATCATGCAGATTGCCGGGATGAATCCCAATGCTGAGTCAGCCACAAGTTCGTCAAGTTATGAGGTGGCACCCAAGGGAAGTACCCTTCATCCATACAGTGATGAGTCCTTTGTTCATAGTGCTACATTTCCAGCTTCAAAGGTTTGAACATATGTTGAGTTTGATATATATATGTTTGTGTGTTGTATTGTTTCTCTTTCGTTTGTTCGAAATTGAAATGGACAGATGATTGAAAATCATTGTCATTGTGTAGAAAGGCATCAAATGCTTTTGGAGCTGTATGTCTCCTTATTTTATTTTTGGTTTTTAAGTATTATACTCTCAAAACCATGTCGACAAGGTATTTTTCTCTATGATTCTTAACACGAGGAGCTATTTTGGTTTTATTATATATTGTTAACTTCGCATATCATCTTTGCTGAGTTTTCAGTTTTTCTATTTCTGTTATGTGCTATTGTCTTCTAATTCATATATGCTATTCTAACTTCCATTACAGACCGCCTTCACTACACACAACCTTTTCAGTGACAAAAACAGTCATAAGGAACTTCCAGAGATTGCAGAGGAGGCTAAACTCCAAGCTGAGGTTATTAGGTAAGTGAACTATGTTACAAATAAAAATTACCACAGTGTGCATTGAAACCAAAGAAGAAAAACTCATGAATGAAGTATTTTCATTTCTAATGGAATCTTTAGGAATCTGATATGAGAATGGGAATATATTTTCTTATAACTTTAACTGGAAGATCTTAGCTTTTGAGGTCTCTAGGAACATGTGTGGTTACTTACACAAGCTGATTTTTGCAGGTTGAGGGAGCTTACACATAAGGGGCATGTTGAATCAGTTGTTAAGGTGAAGGGACTTAACACTGATTTGACAGCCTTTCGTGCATCCACGATGGAGAATTTTCTACAAGAGTGGGACAAGGAGAAGCCGGAGAGATACACTGCTCACCAGTTGGATGACTTTACAAGCAATTACTCGAAAAGGTTGGGGTCTGGAGCATATGGAGATGTTTATGAAGGGCAGTTTCCAAATGGAGTCAAGATTGCAGTGAAGTTGCTTAAGGAAAAATATGAGGGAGCAGCAAAAAAACAGTTCATGGCAGAGGTAGGCACAATTGGAAGAACAAACCATATTAACTTGGTTAGACTTTATGGTTTTTGCTATGATAGAAATATAAGTGCGCTTGTATATGAATTCATGGAAAATGGATCGCTTGATAATTATTTGTTTGCAAAGGAGGAGATGATTGAGTGGGAAAAATTACATGTAATAGCAATGGGGACAGCCAAAGGAATTGCTTATTTGCATGAAGACTGTCAACAGAGAATTATTCACTATGATATAAAGCCAGCCAATATTCTACTTGATGCAAACTTCCTCCCTAAAGTTGCAGATTTTGGGCTTGCAAAGCTCTGCAACAAGGACAGTACTCATGATTCAGTTACTGGCTTCAAGGGAACCCTTGGTTATTGTGCCCCAGAGGTTTTTCTGAGAAATCATCCCATAACTTACAAATGTGATGTGTATAGTTTTGGAATGTTGTTGTTTGAGATAGTTGGGAGGAGGAAAAACAAGGTTATCAGTTCCTCTGAAAGCCTTGATTGGTTTCCAAAGGTTGTGTTGGATAAGTACCAGAAGGGTGAATTGGCTGGGCTAATAAAAAGTTATGGGATTAAAAAGGAGGATATGGAAAAGGCAGAGAGAATGTCAGTAGTGGCATTGTGGTGTGTTCAAGACTTGCCAGGAGCTAGGCCACCAATGAGTGCCATAGTGAAGATGCTGGAAGGAGGAGTGGAGATCATGCCACCTCCTAAACCCACTCATTTACTATTCTCATCATTGGGGATAAGTGCAGTCAAGCCACCAAATGCTGACACTGGTTCAAGTTCCTTCTCGAGTGAAGAATCCACCTCTTATTGGTTTAAAGAGAGCACTTCAAGCATGGCCAAGTATGAAATGCAAGTTGCCAGTAGTTAACAAGACTAAAATGCAGTTTCATACTTTGGTTGACATATCCACCCCTGATCTTGCAGATAGCAGCAATTCTCCCCCAAAGTGATAGAAATTGTTAGTCTATGTTGGTCAATGTTTAGTTTATTTGATGTGGCATGATAGGCTGACTAAGGTCAATCAATGATGTCTATCAACTTAAAAATTATATTTTATTTATTTCTAGTAAATTTTATTTATTTTATT